CATATGTTAAACTTTATAAACTTCAATGAAAAACTTGAATTTCCAGATAAATATTTATCGCATGACTGTTACACTTTCCTTAAAATGTCTGTCTGGCAATATGTACACGTGCAGTATATAGCTTATATAATAATAAAAAAAATTATAATTTCGAATTAATTAGATACACATCGCAAGTTATAATTTTTTCTGTATTTACTCGTATAAACATTGAAAGTTTGGCACACATTACAAAGCTTCATTTCCAATTAAATCTAAAACCGTATTGGCACCCCAAGCGTCTGTTCCACAGGCTATAGAATTAAGCACAGTAGAAACAGGCACTTTTTAACTAACCAAATCTTTTACCGATAAAAAGTAGCTTAATTTATAATTAATTAATAGGTAAATGGAATAAAATAGAAATAAGTTACGATTGTGTGACAGCTCGATTGTTACAGTGAAAAGAGTCGCTTTAAACATTGTATGAAAGGAGACCATTAGGTTATAAAGCTATTTTTCACATCTTAAAAATAAAAAAGGAAAAAAAACAAAACACAGAACAAACAAAACAAGAGAATAAACAGATCAGAAGTATATTATAATACAATATAACATCAACGCACACAGTGTCAATCTACTTGAATAGAATACTCAAATCGAATTACGCTTAAGCCAATATTTATCACAGTGAAGAATGCTGAATTATTCAAATGTTTACTTTTCCAGCTGTCATATGTGACGGAGAGGATGTATGGTGATCGGTCAAAAAATCACTCTCATTTTTAAGTGTTACCATCTCAGGAAAATAATATATTAAGAAAAGGTAAAATACTAACATAAAAATGTGTATACGAAGAAGGAATGTGTATTTATATTAATCTTAAAATATAATAGATTCTACCAAAAACACTTTTACATTAAAGTACTGTATACTCTAAACGCCTTCCATAGTTGAGAAAGATTTATCCGTTCTCACATACAAGCAAACGAACAGACAAAAGACAGAAAGATAGACGTAAATTTAATTATCTATATCTATATCTATACCTATATATATATAAATGGACATGTATGTCCCTATAATTCACTTTTCCGCCAAAACTACGCATCGCACGTGAATGGTGTTTGTATGTGGTGGTAGCCCCAAGTCTCCATTCGTGCATAGGGGTGGTTGCGTCTCGATACCTATAAGGGTGCGGGAGATATGAGGCTGAAAGTGGTTGATAGTGGCTTTCTATTTCGAATTTGTTCGAATTAAATTCGAACATAAAATTCGAATTATTTCGATTATAGAACGATTGTAAACGTTCTAGAAACGTTGAAAATAGTTCGTTTGACTAAACGTAAAAATTCTCTAATTAGTCTGGAAACGGGGGACATAATTCTTGCATTCTGTGAAAACGGGTAAGATTAGCTATAATGTAATTATCTTAATCTTCACTATCGTTACTTTTTGCCCAGCGAAGCGGACCCTTGCAGCTAGTATATAGATTACTTAGAAAAACAGTCTTTTATATATATAAAAAA